ATTCGAAATTTGAGTTGCTTTTCTGGAAAAAGTATTGCATATATTTTCCATATTTGCATACAAATGATGGATTGAATTTTAAAAAATTCTTTTACCCTAAAAATAAGTACCATTGAATTGCATATTTATTGATTAAACTGAACTTCAATAATTTAAAACTTGTTAACAATTGAGTTTAACAAATTTGGAATCAATTTACCCAGAAAGCTTGAATTTTTATGTTTTTAAAATGTCCATGTTTTTTCCCGTGTGGTCATAAGTATTTTTATTACATTTCGATATATATCATTTTTCTGGTATTCACAATTAAATGCAAGTGGAATTACTTTTGCTCAATTTGTAACAGCTAAGAAACTAGTGCAGTGCATTAGCATTAAAATTCACATTGAGTATAAAATTTTATCATTATCTTAATTCTACATATTTTAAACTTTTTAAGTAATGTGAAAAACTGAACTTTAGTACTCTAAATATTAAGAACTAAGTTAATAATCGTGAAAATGAAGTCAACAAAACTTAAATTCCAAACTACCCGAGATATGTTTTTACTAAACCTGGTGAGAAGATATATATCTCCCCTTTCTTTTAATGAAAAGTTAGAAACAATTCGAGATATGTTTTTGCTAAACCTGGTGAGAAGATACATATATATATCCCCTTTCTTTTAATCAAAAGTTAGAAACAATCTAAATTTGTCTCTTTTCTTTAAACATATGCACCTTTTTTATGTTATATGATCTCATTATTAAATTATGTATCTATATATGTTATCTTCAGTATATCTTCGCTCAATAATTTGAGGTGCAAGGTTTGGAAATAATTGTGCACGAATTTAATGGCTGTTACTAAAAATTTAAACTTGGGAAAGTTTTTTGGATGAAATTTAATGTTCAAAGATAAAATTTAAAAAATATTTAAAAGATTTAACTATTAGTTTTTGCATTTAGCTAGAAAAATTATTTAGGATAAATATCTTTATTCATAGATATGAAGATCAATATTGATTCAGAAACAACTGAATTAAGAGCATTACAAAAAAATCTTATGTGGACACCATGACTTCCTAGTACGGCCTATTAAATTATATATATATATATATATATATATATATATTTTGACTGCATTTCATGTAAATTTATTTCCCCGAATTTCATTATAGATATATTTCTCATTCAATAAATTCAGTTCTCATTTTGCAGCAAATCAAAAATACATAAATCTCAAAACATCTTCATTTAAAATTGTAAAATACAGAAAAAGCACAGCAAATACAATTACAAAATATACACAAAACACAGTTAACTTTTTAGAAAAAAAAATTTTTTTTAGAATTAAAATTAGAGTTTCTACGCAAAAACAAACAACTTTACAAGCCGACAAGTAGACAGATTCTTTGGTGCATAAAACTGAAAGTTTACATTTGGTCCCACTTGGCAAAAAGATACTGAAGGTGCAGAGACCGACTTAATTCACTACTCTATTAAGAATTTCCAAATGTAAACAGATAGCAGTTCCATTAGGCTTAGTAGCACTTAAACAACTTTTAAACTGTTGATAGCTCTACAACTATTGCATACAGATTAACTAAAGGCATAAAAACCTTAACCAGAACGTAAGAAAAACATAATTAAATCACTTTTAAAGTAAAAAATGCATTATTTACCAACATATGCTAGGTTTAACCTTTTAAATGTCATGCCCGAGTATTTCTCGGGGTAAATTTTTTTTTTTTTTTTTTTTTTTTTTTTTGAGTGCATCGTATTGTTATACCCGAATATATATCGGGAGACGTTCATTTGGGCTTCATCTCTTTGTCAAACCCGACTGTATCTCGGGAAAAGTTAATGTGCGCTCAATTCAATAGATAATTCAATAGATGACTGAAGATTTCAAAGGTTAGAGGTTATAAGTTCTTTGGTTCAAAGTGCACGGGATCTTTTTGTTGTAAAATGGCGTCCAGTTCTTTGAAACGTTATATAGATGATTTAGATTCTTCAACCGAAGATGAAGGATATGTGTTTGGTGAGCAGTATTTATGATACTTCCATGGTCAGCCTCAAAAATAAAAAAAATGAAGATATACTCAAGCCGAAGATTGTTTCTGACTACAATCTAACTAGGGTGGTGTAGATTCGCTGTGTAATCAAGAAACTATCCTTTCATCCAACAATCTGAAAACATCAGAAAAAATATTATAAAAAGATATTTCTACATTTACTAGAGACAAGGTACTTGTGGAACTCATTTTTGCTCTAGAAAAATGTAGTTGGAGAAACGTATTATATTTTTAGAATTTCGAACCCAAGTTGTAGAAGAGCTTTTCACATAAATATGATGATGCAGCTTCTGGACAAAAGAATGTTGGCAGACCACCTACAATAGATAACCCTGCCCGTCTTACTGAACGACATTTTATTTCCCATATTCCTCCTACTCCTGTAAAATGTGAGCCTACAAGACAGTGCAAAGTGTGTTGTTCGAAATAGGATAAAAATGGGAAAAACATAAGAAAGGAAACACGATTCTGGTGTAGTGATTGTGGAGTTGGTTTGTGCTTGGAAAAGTGTTTCCAGTTGTACCACACAAGACTGAATTACTGAACTACTAATAGGTATTCACTTTTATTTACTTATTTTTTTCATTTATTTATTTTTAGAAAATAATAATTTTTTTATTTTTTAGAAAATAATGCTCCACTAGAAGCGAATTTTACAACTGCCATGTTGAGTGGCAGCTGCCTCAAGCAAATATGCAGTGGCTACAAAACTTTAAAAATTTTACCCATGTACTTCAAAATATCAATTTTTAACTACTTAAGTATATTTTATTTTGTACTAAACATTTGATTTTTCCAATAAAAAAATTTGACAATTTGTGTACCCAAATCATCAAAATAACTTGACGGTTAAAGCAGAAGTTGAAGTAAAGCAATCTGTCCCATTGTTGGGATGTTGTCTTTCATCATGCTGATGCTTGAGCCCCCCTCCCCATTTCAATGAATGTCAGTAAAAGACTTCTTGAATATGGCAGGGTGTTTTGTATCATCCCCTATATTCACTAAATTTTGCCCCCTTAGATTTTAATCTCTTCAGGTCATTTAAAAATTCTTTGAATGGCTAGAGTTCATTTCTTTGCAGAGTATCAAATAAAGCCTAAATAACTTCTTCATGAATAAATCTAATGACTTTTTTAAAAAAGAAACTTTTCAGCTGATGGAGAGATTGAAAAAAGTCATACAGTCAAAAGTCTTTAATCTGGAATGATCTATAATACGGACCTCAAAGCTACAAACTTTCTGCGCATGCGTCAACGGATAATGTGTTAACGCATGCGCATAATACCTTTATGTATGCGCAAAATATGTTTACGCATGCGCATTTAATGTATAAGCTAAGATAAAATTATCTAATTATCTATTTTAGTTAATTTTGCAGATTGCATTGTTCCTTAATCTTCTAATTGAATCCGGCTTATTATTTTTTGCAGACTGTTAGAGCAATTTTATAAAAGTAAGCTTGAACTTTCGATTATGTCAAAAAGAATTTCCGATTCTAGAGCTACCAAAGGATCTACAAAGCGAAAGCATGTTTCGATGCCCATCAAACAAAAAGTGGAATTGCTGCAAAAAAATGGATAAAGGCATATCCTTTGATTCTCTAACCATTCCGAAATATGTTTATCAATTTCACGCTGCTCTGCAGAGGGGGGGAACAGCGTGGTGCGCAATGTACTGGAAGTTGATCTGTCAGCACTATCCTTATCTTCAGGGCAGATGGTTTTATTTTGTTCAGCTTATAATTCCTTAGGAAATGTAGTATTTCATCTCAATGTACTCTGATATGATTTAAATCAAATTCCTCGTCATTATAAATATCACGAATACACATCAAATAGTTTTCTGGTTGCAATTTTCTAATTTTGACTAATTTTGACTAACGCATACGCGTTGAAAGAAATGTTTAATAAAGTAAAATAAATATTAAGCTTTTTTTTGTAAATTTTGATACCCTTTAGATCATAATTGCTCTTTATTTCATAAATTACAGTTTCATATTTTTAATTTTATAATTTCTGCATGCCATCTTACCAGATTTAAACCGATGATCTACAATCCGGAATCGCCGAAATCCCGATGAGTCCGGATTAAAGATTTTTGACTGTACAACAAAATGGTGCTTATGTGGTTGCATGGAATTTTCTAATTTTGACTATGCGTAATGCACGCTTTACGCATACGCGTTGAAAGAAATGTTTAATAAAGTAAAATAAATATTAAGCTTTTTTTTGTAAATTTTGATACCCTTTAGATCATAATTGCTCTTTATTTCATAAATTACAGTTTCATATTTTTAATTTTATAATTTCTGCATGCCATCTTACCAGATTTAAACCGATGATCTACAATCCGGAATCGCCGAAATCCCGATGAGTCCGGATTAAAGACTTTTGACTGTACAACAAAATGGTGCTTATGTGGTTGCATGGAAATTTTTTGTGTTTTTGTACTGCTTCAATCTGTGTTTATCATCAAAAAAATTGCAGAACTTTTCAGGTGATCCAATAAATTATAAACTTTATTTAATAATAATCATTAACAAGTGTTTGATTTTTTAATGTATCATATAATACTTATTTAATAATCAAAATTCATACTTTAAATTGTTGAAGTGGTTTTCTTTTCACATCCTGATAATGTTTGCCAATTACAATAAATATCAATAGTTTGATAATCTTTAGAAATAAAAAAAAAAAAAAAAAACTTTTTTAAATGCCAACTTGCACCAATAAGTAACTTCTACCAATCTGCACATAGTTTGCACCAATACATAAGTACCACCTTATTTTAAAATTTGTTAATGCCTTTCTACTACAAAATATTTTAGATTGTCAAAATGCCTCATTATTTTATTGAAACATACAGCAACTTGGTATCAGTATCAAATAATATATTTCTTCAAAAGAGCATGTTAAAAATCTGCTATACAGCTATATTTACTTACTGAAAACAAAGGCTTCTGAAGACTATTGAAAAGCTTTTTCACTGAACTAGTATCTAACTGTTCTTCTGCTTCAGTTACCTTTTCTTCCATAACATCCAAATTATGTTTTATTGCATTCACCATTTCCTGTAATTATAATTCACAATTATATTTCATATGTAAAAAATTGCATTTTATTTTTAAAAAATTTTCAGTACTGAAATACTTAAACTTAATTATAAGTACTAGATACTTAATAACTGCATGACAAACAGATATATTGAACCTTTACTCTTTTAAGAGTTAAGACTTTCATCAGTAATTGACAAATAACTCACTGCTGAGGATATGTCTGAATTCTGACAAACTATCTAAAAGATATGCATGCAATTTCATCGGACTAAATACCAAACTATCGCAATGAACACAGCATTTACACTTTTAAAAAAGGGAACTAAAATTAAGAACTGATACAAAGCTATAACAATGAAATGTTGTATGAGAAAAATGCATTAAAATCTTAGGAAACTTTACAAATGATAAGATAAAATATCAACATACTAATACATTTTAAGATCTTCATATTCTTCCCAATTTAAGAATTCCCAATTTAAGAACTTAGCAGTTTGAAAATGAGAAAACTTAATTGATGCTTTTATGACAACGTCGCAGAATACTAGGAAGGTTTTTTTTTTTTTTTTTTTTATATATTATTATTATTACTTCTTTTTGTGCTGCAGCAGCACAGTTGTTCTTTCAATAGATATACATATTAATACATCTTCTCATATTTCCCTATCAAGTGCTGTTTGACTATTATTATTATTATATGCTTACAATCTAATCGGATTAATTTTTATTACAATTAACTACAGCTCACTATTGTTATCTATATCTTCAGGTGCCACTTCCCATAAAAAAAAATCAAAATATGCTATGGCAGTATGATTGAGCTCTACCAGTAGAAAGTAAAACATGTGGCTATGGAATCCCATATAATGAAAAGAGCTTTTAAAAAGACTATTTCTGTGGATAAGTCCAGATATTGCAATTTACAATTCTTATGCCACTGTGGACACAATGTACTGTCCATGTAGTTACATTAGCAGAGCTTCCTTTGTTGTTTGCAAAGGGTTAACATGTTCACTTCTGCTGACATGCTGGTGCATCAGAATGGCACCACTCTGAGACGTCAGTTGACTTTCATAAGTTATATGCTTTACTTTTAGGATGACACTAAAAGCTGACTGAAGAGGTTATTTAGGCCCATTAGTGAAGCATTATTTTTCATTTTTACATGCATGGTTTTCAAATTTTGTGTCTCAATTCTTTTATGCATGTTTTTAAAAATGGCAGTGGTACAAGTGTGGTAGAACCTTAATAGAAAAGTAAATAAAAAAATTGACTGATGCCAAAATATTAGAATTATTAGAAAAGAGTGACCTTTCCAATTATAAAAGCACAGACGATGAAAAGGCTATGGGTGTGATTCTGAAGGAAGTGAATCGGAAGGAAATAGTGATAATGCGGTGAACACTATAGAAATGTCGAATTCTGAAACAGAAAACAAGAATGCACCTCAACAATTACCAGTGGTTATGCATGCATAGACACCATGTATGAGTGCCGTGACTGTCTAAACAATGCAGGATATTGCTTAAACTGCTTTAAAATAAACCATAAATGATAGTGTAATGATGCAGTACTGTTTCCTACACAAATGAGATTTCATTTTCAATAAGTTTATAATTTGTGTATTTTTCCATGCTTTCCGACTATATTGTTCAAGTATTAAATATAATTTTCTATATTACAAATTTTCACAGTTGAGCATTTGATGTGTTAGATACATGCATATTTGTTATAATTTTTATTTTGCTTCAACAGCTTGAATTAATAGGAATAATTCAACAATGCCAATATCTGTATTGTTATTAGAAAAGATTTTCTATATTTTTTCATAAATGTGACTTCATATTGCTCAAATTATATATTTTATTTCTATTAAACTATGGCTTTATGCAATTTGTCAATAATTTCTTAGGGTAATGGTCAGAAGCTGTAGAATATCGATGGCACACAGATGATACATTGAATTTGATGTACTGCTGATACTTTACAGTGTCAGAAAAAATACCACACTAAACATGAAAATTTTCTCTCCCCCCCCTAGGTTTTCTAATAAAATATAAGTAACATTTTTTATCATTAAAACACTACTTTATAATCTGTTTTCTAAGGGCGGAACTATTTTCACTGGTAACGAATGTGTTAATGCCAATGTAACTCGGATAAATTTGATATATGGAAATATTAACAACCACCTTAATGAGATTAAAGGTTTTGCCATAACCTAATAAACCTAAACCTCCAGAAGATCATGAATAAATTATATTTTCTTTATTATAATTCTAAAATAATCCTTGCACCTTGATTATCTTCCTTTCAATGATGCACATCTGTATATTTAAAACTACCATGACAAATTCTTTTGAACGTATATATATACAGATTGACTGCTTCAAAGGTTAAGCAAGTCATTATTATATCCTTCCATGTACAATAACATTGAGAAAACTTGCACATATCTACTGTTTTCATACAACATTTATTGCTTACTATGCAAACAACAGAATTCAAAACTCTGAGCCTATATATTAATTTTAATTTCAATAAATATATTCTTCAAATTATTATTTCTTTTGAGTTTAATACTACATGACACACATAGGTTTCAAAAATGTGCAAGATTCAGCCAAAGCTTTCTTTTTCTGATTAAAACACTGATTAAATATATTTTATTCGAACACATATATTTTATGAACATACTTTCTACTTGTTTAGTGAAATCATTATACACATTCAGTTAATATTTATAATGATTTCACTAAATTGAAGTATAGGAGCTAGCCAAATTTGGTGGTTTCATTGTTAGGTAATGATTTGAATTTAGTAGACTTACTTTTTTTTTTTTTTTTGGTTGCTGTTTCATGCCGATTTTATTTTGGCAACTTTATCTTTCTTTATGACTAGATTTATGACTTTATGAGTTATTGTAGTTGTGGGATATTTCTCTCCTGTCATACATTGTCTGCTTTTTAATATTATTTGTATAAGCGGTGGAAACAGAATCCCCATTTGACTTGCATGTCATTGGTCTGTATCATGGCTGAAAGGCATGATTTAGGGTTTGATTGCGACAACTGTCTCTGGTACTCATACAAATTCAACTAAAAGATCTGTGCATGGAACTCACAAATGTAATGATCAATTTGATTTTTATCTTGCCAAGTACATGAGGAGCAAGATACGTAAAAATAATCTGCAAGAAGAGTTTTTTCATGTACAGAAGACATAAGCAAGTGTTAAATGAATAAAATAAGGTTTAATCGAATCAATTAATTTCTTGAAAATGGCATTATATATATGTGAGTATCATGTAAATTCTTTACTTAATACTTTAAAAGTGATCATAGCAGATGTGCAATGCCAAATTTATGCAATTTTTTTTTTTTTTTTTTTTTTTTTTTAAGTGAAACAGATTGTAATGTACATGAAACAAAAATGATAATGTATCATATATAGTATATATAATGTTTAAAGTATGATTTTAAATTCATTTAGTTCGAAATCAAGTTATTCTAATACTTGCACATTAGCTGCAAAGTAAGATAATAATAATTTACTTACTAAAGAAATATTGATTATATTATCTCTTAATATTAATTTTTTGATTTGTTGATAATGTTTCCCAAGTTACAATAAATATCAATGGTTTGATGATCTTTTTGAAAAATGTCACCAATTTCCCTCTCACAAGTAACTGTTATTAAAGCTTTTTAAAATATACAATCACAATTGGTTTAACGCCCTTGAGCAGCATGACTGCCTTTATCTGATTATAAGATTTTTTTGTCATTTGATATATATTAGATTATAGTTTAAAAAATATTTGGTTTCTTTCTTTAATAATGTAAATATCATCTTAGTTTAGTAAATGGAAGTTTATGAAAAATGGGACTAAAATGAGTAATTATAAAAGTTTAGCTAATAGAAACCTTGAACAGATTCAAAATGGCATGCCATTCAAGTGTTGTTCACAACAGCAGAATCAACTGGTGGCAAAAACCTGTTCTTCCAGCGTGTCCCATTCACATGGCAAACAAGCATTAATTTCCTGTTGAACTGGACATAGAATGCTCTTACCCCTCTGGAGGAGGGCAATTAGGGAAATTTCTCATACTGCATTACGTGATTCACTTAATTCTAATAAACAACATAGTTGATGTGCAGTTAACCACTCGCTGGTATGTCAGCAAAACTATCACACTGATGTAGCAGGTGTTCAGAAAAGAATTAGATAGAACTGTAACGTGATAGAGAAGTGTATAAAGAAATATGTACAAGTTTTAACTGCTTCTGGTTATATAAGAAATATTTTCCAAATCAAAATGCTGAGACAAAAATATCACCTACAATGCACATGACATCACTGCTCTAAGTACGCCAATTTTAGTAATATTAATGTTGCATTTATAAAGGAATACATGAATTCCTTTCAGTGAATCTGCCATCTCTGATAAAAAAAAACGGTCTTTCTCTAAGCAGCACATACTACATGCACGAGCAAAAATAATTCTAGGAGAGAAATTTAAAATTAAAAATGTTTTTTCACGCAAGCTTTTATTTAAAACTTGTAAAATAATTAATGAAATAAATGGAAGAAAATAACTTATAATTTAGTTTAAATTGAAAAGAATCCAGCAATTAAGAAAAAGGTAATGACTTTTTAGCTGATTCCTCAAATGAAGATATATGCGAAAAATCGCTTGAGTTTTAAAAATTAACACAAACTTCAGAAAATCGCTTCATTTTCATCCACAATAACAGTGTACAAAAAATTTGAGCTCCATAACTTATAAAAGAAAATAGACTTAAAAGAAGTTGATACAGAACTTTTTAACATAGTGACAAACACAGCGAGCATGTTAAATAAAAGCTTATAAAACACCTCTACTTTTAAAATAAACTCTACAAAGTTGTGTAACTAATATTTCTTTTTATCATTCTTGATTTGAATGAGGGGTGACGAGTTTGTTCTATAATATCTAAAAATTTCAAATCTTTATAATAGATACATTTTTGAATGTTAGAATTTTAAAGCTCATAAAAGAATAAAATATTATATATATCTCAATTTAAAAAAAAGTCTTTAAAATGATATGCTTAAAACATGTATTTAAATTTATGAAAAAGAAACATTTAAAACTGACACAACAGATTTCATAGCAAATAATTTTAAACTGAAACTTCTTTTTTGGGGGGGGGGATTAATAAAATTAAATGAATTGTAAAATGCAAAATCTATAGATAAAAAAAGGGGGAATAGAAATAATATTTAAAAAATGACAGAAAATGTTTATAGTAAACTTCTTTGCAAACATTTCTTTGCAGCTAAGGGACTGAGATTAATAAATAAGTAAACAAAATTAATTGTAACATAAAAAAGTGTGATGTAATCAGATCATAACTTTAAAACTAATGTTTCCAAATTATGTCCAAGAAGAACCGATACTTCGTTCCCTTTTTTTTATTATATACTTTATTTAAAATGTAAAAATTCGGCTTGAAGAGTTTGTTTTATAATCTTTGAAAATTTCAAAACTCTGTAACCGATACGTTTTTGGTTGCAAAATTTTAGAATAATAAACATCAAAAAGTCTTAAAATTTAAGTGATTTTCAACGATAATTAAAGAAATCAAGTTACAGATTTTTTTTTCCACTCTATCCAATGATGCATACAATAAAATTCTGAGATTTTTCAAATTGCTTATTAACCCTTTCAACCAGACTTTTGCATGATTAAAATTTAACTACGAAAAGTAGTTTAATTTAATGTTGACATACTAAAAGAAGTGTAATATGAGTTTAAAGTTTTTAACTTTTCCTGTTTCCTCGAAATCTCCTGGGACAATATGTCCTAATCGTATTGTCAACTGGGACTATTTGTTCCAATTGTCTAGGGTGTTTACCTTTTCTCAGAAAACAAAACTAAAATTTATGGCAATATATAATGTGAATACTTACATAACATAAACTCTGTCACATGCACTAGCTCATATACAACAGAAATTTTCATATATGTTTCATATACAACAGAAATTTTCATATACGTTTTATAAACAGAAACATAATACAATCAAAAGTCGTTTATCCGGACTCGTTGGGACTTCGGCGATTCCGGATTATCGATTTTTCCGGATTATAGATCATCAGTTTAAATCTGGTAAGATGGCATGTAGAAATTATAAAATTAAAAATATGAAACCGTAATTTATGAAATAAAAAACAATTATGATCTAAAAAAGATTATGATATGGGTATCAAAATTTACAAAAAAAAAAAAAAAAAACCTTAATATTTATTTGTTTACTTTATTAAACATTTCTTTCAATGTAAGTTGTTTAACTTGCTTCGTTTTATGTGATAATACTTTCTCTTTAATTCTATAAACAGATATAATTTCTTGTTCAGTTACAAAGTTCCGCTGTTCAAGTCCTATAATTGCTGTATCGAAAATACCGACTAATTTGTCAATCGAAATTTTTTCGTTTTCAATAACCTCTGTGTCACTTTCTTCACTATCAGAAGCGAATTATAATGATGAGGAATTTGATTTAAATCATATCAAAGACGGAGTACATCAAGATGAAATACTACATTTAGTAAGGAATTATATGCCAAATAAAATAAAAAAATCTGCCCTGAAGATAAGGATAGTGCTGACAGATCAACTTCCAATTCATAGCACGCCGCGGCGTCCCCCCCTGCCCACTGCTGAGCAGCGTGAAATTGATAAACAGAACAGTCAACGCGATGCATGCACAGAAAGTTTGCAGCTTTGAGATCCGGATTATGGGTGTCCGAATTAACGAAACTGTATATCAGCATGTAGTAATTTGATCACTGGTGGGATATATTAACCCACTGTTAAATACGTTTGGGACAATATATATCGCAAAAAGAATTTATTCAAAATTTCTTAAATTTCACATTAAAAATGTTAAATTAATACTTAATAAGAACAATAAATCCTATTTTATACCAGGTATGCCTTAAATATAATTGTACTTACTGTAAAATTTTAAAAAAATAGACAAATGGAAACTTGAGTAATCGGTGTATTCAAAAACATAAGTGTGCTATCTGCAATCTAAAAGTTCTGCCAAGTTTCTTTAGTCATATACAGTCAAAAGTCGTTAATCTGGACTCGTCGGGACTTCGGCGATTCCGGATTATCGATTTTTCCGGATTATAGATCATCAGTTTAAATCTGGTAAGATGGCATGCAGAAATTACAAAATTAAAAATATGAAACCTTAATTTATGAAATAAAGAACAATTATGATCTAAAGGATATCAAAATTTACAAAAAGAAAAAGCTTAATATTTATTTGTTTACTTTATTAAACATTTCTTTCAATGTAAGTTGTTTAAGTTGCTTCGTTTCATGTGATAATACTTTCTCTTTAATTCTATTAAACAGACATAATTTCTTGTTTAGTTCTAAAGTTCTGCTGATGAAGTCCTATAATTGCTGTATTGAGAATACCGACTAATTTGTCAATCAAAATTTTTTCGTTTTCAATAACCTCTGGGTCACTTTCTTCACTATTGGAAGCAAATTATAATGACGAGGAACTTGATTTAAATCATATCAAAGACGGAGTACATCGAAATGAAATACTACACTTAGTAAGGAATTATAAGCCAAATAAAATAAAAACGTCTGCCCTGAAGATAAGTATAGGGCTGACAGATCAACTTCCAATCCGCAGCGTAAAATTGATAAACAGATTTCGGATTTCAAAACATACTTTCGCTTTGTAGATACAAATTACATATTAGTAAATATATATCGGAAATTCCATTTGACATAATCGAAAGTTCAAGCTTACTTTTATGAAATTGCTCTAACAGTCTGCAAAAAATAATAAGCCAGATCCAATTCGAAGATTAAGGAACAATGCAATCTGCAACATTAACTGAATTAGATAATTTTAGCTTAGCTTATACCTCCGTTACACATTAAACGTGCATGCACACAAACATATTCGCAGCCATAAAAGTCTTATGTGCACTCTTAAAAGTCTGTGCGCATGCGTGAATGCGATGCATGCGCAGAAAGTTTGTAGCTTTGAGGTCCGGATTATAGATCATTACGGATTATGGGTGTCCGAATTAACGACTTTTGACTGTATTTATTCCCTAATTCCTTAAAAACACTGCCAATGTAAAAAACCCATTTAAAAGTGGATTTTATTTACCCAATAGGGTATGTGCCCATTAGGACCGAAAGGGTTAAACAAAAATAATTGTTTCAACATTAAAAATTTAAAAACTGTTTCAACATTAATTTGAAAATATAGTAGCCCCGCACTGTATTGTCATTAACAAGTAGCGTATGTGGTAATTTGAACTCGATACTTTGTCAGGAAGCAATTTAAAAATTGTTGACAAACTTTTAACTACGGTGATAAATACCATGAAAGAGCTAAATAAAAATTTATAATAAAGCGTAACTTTACTGGAACCCTTACGGGAAGTATCGGTACAGCAATGTACCGATACTAATTACTATTTAATGATAATATAATACTATTTAATAATACTATTAATAGTAATATAATAATATAATACTATTAATAGTAATATAATACTATTTAATGTTGTTTGCTGTAGCATTAAAAAAGTGTAAACAGTATTAGAAATCAGCCAATTTGATTCACATTTGTGATGTGATTATTCACAGTGGCTTACAGGTAAAGGAAAGGAAGATGGCAGACTTCTGAATAGGTCCTAAAGATGAAATGCCTTTGTGTCATTGTTTTCTCTTGCTGTTAACAGCAGCTATACGAAGGAGCGTTGCATGTGAACAGGGCTCCTAAGAATTAATATGAACACAGAAATACTGCCATTTAATGATGAAAGAAATTTTATATTTATTCTGCAGCATGAACTGATAATTTTAATTTACTGATATTGCTTACATCCATGGATAAAAGCATATAATGAAAAAATATAAATTACCTCTAATCGATCAATTCTTTGAAATATTTTCTCCATCTCTTCATACTTTTTATGAATTGCAGGAAGCGTACTATTTAAACACAAAGTACTATCATCTCGAACCTGAAAAAATATATAAAAATATAAATTTGCAACCAGATGAATTTATTTTACAAATTAATACTTTACAACTAAATTTTTCAAACCTATGAAAGTAAAACAAGCTTCCACAAATAATGTGTCTAATTTAATGTTATCATTATATAGCCATGAATCAAATTATTTATATTCTTGTAAGGATTTATTGGATTCCTTCACGCATGCTCTTCAATGTAAGTGTAGCATGTACAGCTAGCTAATAACCAGAAGATCTGTGGTTCAAATCCAGACAAGGTCACTCGAACTTTCACCGTTTCCTGTCTGAAACGTAAAGTTATCAGGACATGACTTTTGAAAATTACACAATGATAAAGCATATTTTCAGAAATTTATACATGCTAATATTTCTTGTAAGCTTTTAATTTCTTCTACTACACTATTTCTTAGTACATACCCCCTTTTTATTCCAAAGGGGCAATTTGCCTTGAAGGGCTATTAATTTCATTCTGTCATTTTGTGTTGAAAACTATATTTAATGAATCAGTTTTCAGATTGTTGCCACCAAATATTATCACCCTGTATTATATTTAAAGAAATTAAATAATGAAGAATCTGCATGAATGTATGCATGTTTCTCGCATTATGATAAAACAACGGTGCCTAGAGCCATCAAATTTTGAATAATGTGTGTCTCCACCCACATATGGGCATCTGGAAGCCCAAATTTGGAATTTGTTTTATTATCTACTTCATATTTTGTAAAGCATTTATGAGTTTTTGATTAAGAAAATCAATGATTTCAAAGTGAGCAATGGCAACACTGTACGGGAATAAAAAAAAACATTTTTATTTCTAGTACATGAGACTGTGTATCGGAAATTCTAAAGATATGCTCATTTTAAAATCATTTTGTGATACTGCTGTTGAACTGAATTTTATGGTTTGAGTATGTAGAACATGATATTTAATAAATAAAGATAACACACAAAATGTTAAAAAAAAAAGGTTTCTTTGGACATAATTTAAAATCTGAATCCTTTCAGAATTTTTTTAAAATTTTTTAAATTAATTTTATGATCCAAAACTCAAAAGGGGAAAATTATGTAATTCATTTAATTTTCAAAGGTGACAGAGAGAACATAACAAATTAAAAGCAGTTATGGATAAACTACAGCTAATTATCACAATATTATTTCTTTAAAAGAAACCTGCATTCAATAAGAATACGTAGTAATATTAACATTCCAATATCTAACAAGATATACAGTACAAAGTCCGAAATCCAGATGTCCATTATCCAGAATGATATAAAATCCAGACGTCAAAACCATCGTCTTTCTCTTAGGCTTTACAAATGCACATTTACAGTGGCGTAGAGAGCATAACTGGCTCCCGGGGCAAAATACCTTTTTGGCGCCTTTTCCCGAAAAAACACACAGTGATATGATGAAAATCTTGTTTGCAGACCGCACCTCTGCGAGAGGCGCCCGGGGCATCATACACCCCCTTGCCCCCCTCACTATGCCACTGCACATTTAACCCCCCTCCATGCATAACAAAACATCTGGAGAGTCCCGATTTTTAATTTCACTTCGACAGTAAATAAAGTACCTTGTTATTGTAGAAACAATTATTTTGGCATAAATTTGTATGATCAGTAATTTGATTCTGTTGCTGCATATCTGCTTGGCACATATCTCAAACCGAAACATTCCACATAGATACATCGTTGATCTTACGTCAACCTGGCGAATCGTTATTATACTTTCCTTTCACCACTGCATGTTTATCCAAACATGACAACTTGAGTAATGACTCGCGTAGCGATGCCTAAACAATTTTTTTATGTTAGTAGTTGAATAACAAAGGAGTATGGTAACCTTTGATGTTGACATTACATTTAGCGATGATTACAGATTTAAGTTAAATGCGTTAAAAAATGTTGACGAGGAAAATTTACCAAAAATTTCTTTCCATATGCTAAAAATAGATTTTGTTGATGATATTCATAGATCCAAAGATTACATTTAGGGCTATTTGAATTAAGAATAACTGATTTGCTAGTCACATAAACCCAGAACCAGCGCCGGGGCTCGTACGGCCGCACTGAGTCGCATAATTTAGGACCAATAGGCGGCAATATATTTATCGCCGGCCTTCAATAATGTAAGTCACTTAAGTATATGTGAGAATTTATTTATTCAAAATTCTGATAAGCCTTAAGTATGTGCAAGAAATAGACATAAGCATAATAAGTAACTAAACTAATACAATTTAGGCTTAATTGTCTCAGTGCGAGACAGATGCACGATAAAATTCAACGGAACAATTTGTTATTAGTCGCCAAGCTCACGATGCATAGCCAAATATGTATAGTGAAGTATAGCTAAATTTTATGATGATAGCCACTAATTTTAAAGGTTTTTAGATATCGCAAAACAAAGGTGAAATTTTCCAATGAACGGATTTTGTAAAGAAATGTGGAGAAGAAATAATAAATAAAGATGATATAAAAGAAGTTTTTTCATTGTGATGACAATGCTTCTCAATCATCAATCGATTAATGAATGGCAAAATCTGTAGCATGGTTCTAGATCCAGAAAATACCGCTACTGATAATGAATAAAATGACAGAGAAGTTACTGAAAACGAGAAAATTTCGATTGACAAGTTAGTCAGACTTCTCGAAACAGCAGTTACAGGACTTCAACAATGTAACTAAAAAACAGTCTGTCTGAATTAAAGAGAAAGTGTTAGCACAAAAAATGAAGCAACTTAAACAACTTAGATTAAAAGAAATGTTTAATAAGGTAAACAAATAAAAACACTGGTTATCATAAATTAAGGAAAAATCACAGAAATAGCGATGACTCCATAAAAAATAAGCCAAACCATGTAAAATTTGAATATGTTGCCAAGAGTAGTTGAGTAAATTCCAATATGCAAATTAGTGGCGCTACACTCGGAATACGTTATCTGCAAGGAGCATAAAAGTCCATGTTTGAGACCAAGCCCACATATTTCACTGTGATAGTGACATCAGGAATCTGAGACAGCCAATTCGTCACAATGGCCTCCAGGCATCATTTGCCTGTAGAACTACGATAGAGAGCCATTGGGAGACTAGAGGCAGGATAAAGTCAAACAGAAGTGTCCAGATGGCTAAATGTTAGTCCTTCTGTGGTTCATAGACTTTGGAGGCAATTTCAAATCACAGATTCGGCACCTAGGAGGTTAAGCCAAGAACGGCCAACAGCTACGATGAGCGCCGATGACCGATATTTGACATTATGTGCATTCAGGAATAGAACCGCTACTCCAACTTTTCTTAGATCCTCCCTTGCTGCAGCCACCGGGAGGTTGGTGTCAGCGTCAACTGTGCAGTTGACTTCACGAAAGTGGTCTGTATACGAGGCGAACAACCATTTGTGTGCCGCTCACGTCACGCCATAGGAGGGACCGTTTGCAGTGGCCACGACAACATGTCCTGAGCAGTGGAAGGCTATTCTCTTTACGGATGAGTCCAGGTTTAGTCTAGAAAGCTATAATAGGCACGGAAGTGGCAGTGTCTGTGTTTGGGGTGGCATCTCTTTGGGTGGGCGCACAGACTTCCATGCTTTTCCAAGGGGAACCATGAATGCTCAGATTTATAGAGATTTATATAACATCCTTGATGCTTATGTGTGCCCATATGCCGGGGCAATAGGTGATGCTTTCATGTTACAGGACGACAATGCAAGACCACACAGGGCTTGCATTGTATATGATTATCTTCAACAGGAAACAATTATGCGCATGGAATGGCCAGCTCAATCCCCGGACTTGAATCTTATCGAGCACATTTGAGATGATTTAGAGAGACGTCTAGCTGCTCTCAGTCTGCCCCCTCAGACTCTTGCCGTGCTTGCAACAACAACATTTGCAAGAGCAATGGCTCTTGCTTCCTATGGAACTGATAGACTGGATAATTGAAAGCATCACGCATCACTGTATGTGCTGTATTGCTTATAGAGGTGACTATATTCCCTATTGAAGGTACTTTTCCTATAGCAAACTGACACCATCGATTTGTTCATTTTATACATGTGCTAATTTCTATACTACCATAATTGTCTGATAATTTATTTTTATGTTATTTGATACCTTACTATGTGTTGTATACTGTGGGTAAGTTTCATAAAATTCTACATGTAACTTTTTCAGTAATCGTGATTTTTCCTTAATTTATGATAACAAGTGTATTAAGCTTTTTGTAGAGGGGAAATTTTGATACCATTAGATCATAAATTCATTATTTCAAAAATCATGATTTCATATTTTTAATTTTACAATTTCTACGTGCCATCTTACTAGATTTAAACTGATGATCTAATATCTGGAAAAGTCCCAAATCCAGAATTGCCGAAGTCCCGACCAGCTCGGATTTCGGACTTTGTACTGTATTTACTTCTAATTCCTTGTAGCTTGAATCTCACCCATTCTTATTGTTATCTTTTCTACTCTGTAGGCCTCAAATCATGCATATCTAATTAGGGAAGGTGAATATGCAGCTGACTCAGGGAAACTAAAGAATAAATGTCGGTTCATATTCACTTTGCTGTGATGGGCCAGTTCTAATTCAGGTTCGCACAAAATTCAGCCGTAAGAAGGCAATGTTTCAGCATTACCTCTGAAGTTAATTCGTGAGGGTCTGTCTTCTCAGTAAGATGAAAACAATCATTACGTGAATGAATCTATTTTTAAATTTAGCAGAATTTGTTCTCAAAATGCAGTGAGGTAGAAGAAAACAGCATGAATATTTTTAAAATTTTCAGAGCATGGCACTAAAAAGCTAGGAGGGAAAATACACAAGGAAATACAGTATTAATAATGACTACAAATACTTTGCAATTTCAAATATTAACTTTTTTTTAATAAATTAAATTGATCAATATAACAGAGAGAACTGAAAACATCTGAGGTGCATGTAACACAGAAATACAAGCCCTCTGCTGTACGCTAGAGCAATTTGAATATCTCACTGCTGCTCATTCAACTATGGGATGTCACATACACTGCTATGTGGTGGAAAGCAAAATTTGGTTAGAGTAGACTTTAAGGTACCTCTTGTATTATGCTGAAGTGGTTGTTTCATTTATCACCAAGTTGTTGTTTCAATTATGGTAGCTTGAGTAGTTGAATGTTATGGAAACCCTATTGTGACATAATCAGGTACATGATTTTGGGAAATTTTGACTCGAAGGATGTTTGTAAGCACTTTTGTGGTGCGTGTTGGTTTTATTGTTTAGACGGTAGAATGGCTGAATGTAGTAAGATTAATTTGAAGTTTCTGTACGATTTGGAACGAAAGGGGGAAAGAGCGGTGCGTTAATTGACTGGTGTGTAAATGAAGGTTTACTATTATAAGTGTCCTGTATGTAGGAAGGATATGCATCTAGTCGAACGTAAAAACCATTTAGATGGATTTTCACGGGTTTGTAGGAAGAAAGGTTCAGATGTGGCAATGCCAATATACGGTTTCGAGTTCAGATAATTTTAGGAAGTTTTTGGATGCTGTTAAGGAATTTTGTGTACCACAGACTAAAGACGAAGGAACTTTTAAATAGGGTAAGTCGATATTTGCTTTTTGTAGTGCTTAAATGTATAACATGTTTTACCTTTTTTATGTTATTTTATTGTTTGGTTTAAAATGCAGTTTATTGAGATTATGTATTTTTTGTTTGCCTGTATTGTAGAATTGGGTGTTCCTTTGACTTTTTAAATGAAAATATATCAATGTGTACATGGACAAAGTGAAGAGAGTGCGCAATGCAAGTTTGTGCAATTTTTGGATTTTTTTTTAAGTGAAAATAGGTCGATGGGTATATGGATACCGAGTATGTGCAATTTTTAAAAACGCGCGAAGCAGTGGGTGATTCTGCCCTTTCCCCACTGAAAGAACATTCTTTTCTAGTGGAGCTTTGGCATCTTTACAACTGCTGACATAACTTGTTCACTATTAAAACTATTTGCATTCAGTTCCCATAAAATAATTCTTACAATCGAGATTTGGTTCTTTTCTATAATATAACAAAATCGATGATTTTTTACAAAAAAGAGTGTTTTTTTACAAAAAAAGGGAATTTTAGGTTTTGCACTTGCAAATATTATATACAAAAATGCAACCACAGAAAAGTAGAAACTTACCATATCAACAAGAGATGTAAATTCATCTAAACGAGTTAAGACATCTTCTATTGCGTCTTCTAACACAGCTTTCTAGAATAAAATGCAATTTTAGGACCTACTCGAGGTCTCAAATTAAATAAAGCACAGAACGAAATATTCAGACATGTTGAATTAAAAATTAAAATGAGGAATCATCTCTTTCTATTATAGTGTTACAGCCTGTATTACCATTAATAAAATCGGTATTTTTCCGTAATGCGCCTGCCACGCTTTTTGGTTCCTGTGAAAGAGGAGCTAAACATATGCCGAGAGCCAACAATAGCATTATCTCAGGACCAAGTGTGTATGTCTACTGGTGTAAACAAGAATAAAAGTACATATTATTGCAATAGTGCCGCCAAAATGGCTGGCAAGTGCATAATGGAAAAGTACAACAGAATCAAATAACTAGCATTATAAACATTTATTATGTTACAATTTAATCACGGTGAATTTGTCAGAAAATAACTAAATTTAAGCATGCATTAACCATAACAATATATTTACCTCAGCCGTTACGTCAACTTTTAAGTACTTAGAATAATCATGCGCCAAATTTGTTATTAAATTATCAAGCTTAGCTTTATCTGGAGATTTCTCATCTACGATTGGCCTCTCTTCTGTCGGCGAAAGTTCATCATCCGCCATACTTACAACGAAGCAGACTGAAATTAAAAAACGGAGTGAAGAGACTCATCTTCTTCTTATAACAAATTACTTATATATCATCACACGTTTGGAAAGAAGTCTTTTCGTAATGTCGAGAGTTCCATAGACTTCCGAATATTGTATTTCTAAGATTAACACAATTTTATAAAACTTAATACAGCAACAATCGGTTAGTGGTTTCCTGTTTCTTTAAAGTGTATCATGATATGCAGAAGACAGGCATGAATAGTCGTCTAATGAAAGTCACCAGAACCGAAATCGTGATAAAAATTCTGCATTTCGTGCTCCTTATCAACGAGTGTGCTCTCGATTATCCGGGCTAACGCCGCGAAAACATGTTACGGATAAATGAAAAACACGAATAATCCAAACTATTGATTATGTTTTTGTGACATTTAAAACGATATCCGCATTTCTTAAGTATTAAAAGCCCGGTCCTGTAGAATTATTCCTCTATGTTTTCCTGATCAACATTTTCGAAGAATTTTACATTTTCAATTTTTGGCATACAACTTCAGTTATTGCCTCAACTTCTTCACAGCTAGACAAATCTGCAATTTCTATATTAGGAAGAATCTTTCTATGTCAAATCAGTGTTATTGGTTTTACTTTCGACCAAAATTTTGTTACTCTGCATCCAATACAATCAACTTTTTCTAAAATTTCATAACATTCTTTACTTTTACAGAGCTTCGAACTACACGAATAGTTGAAACTAAGACGCAATTTATATGTACTTGGGCTTACACGTTCGTGCTTTTTACACACTCTCACGTTTAGCTTTAAGTGTGCGTGCGTGAGCGCAGCCACGCATAGTTAATCCGAAAACCGGGTAATCCGCACCCGGATAATCGAGAGTACACTGTACTCTTTCCACAGATTAGCACAGATACGTCTTCTTTAGTAAACTTTTTTTTTTTTTTTTTTTTGTTTGTTTTTTAAGAAGTCTGGTAAAGCCACGATTGTCTCGCTATCTTTTGAATATAAGAAAAAGAAAAACTTAAAAAAAAAAAAGAAGAAGAAAAGAAAAAGTTTAAAATAAACTCTCTTATTAAGCGAGTGCAGATTTTTCCTCTTTCTTTCGACAATGTTTTTAGTGTTTTCTCTTTACGTCATGTCCGTTCAAACAACGAATCAACAAAAAATATTCTTATTTTGATAGTATCAAATTTTTAAAAAAATAATTTTTCGATAAATAGCGAATTCTAGCTTTAAAAGCGGTCTCGCATTCTTTATACTTATATTTGGGAAAGTTTTACACTCGTTATGAAAAATTAAAAATTTAGGAAGTTTGATTCCCGTTGAGACAAAATTTGACCAGGATATTTAATTTCCAAAATTTGCGATTTTTTATGTCATTTTCAACTTGCTTTCAGGGATCGGCTAATTAAATTAGAATAATTCGAGGAAATAAATTTAAACGAAGTGCAGCAAAAAAATTTGCATAATTTAATAGGCCGTGCAAGAAAGTCATGCGATGCCCGCATCAGACTCTTTTTTTTTTTTTTTTTTTTTTTTATAAAAATAACACCATAATGCTGCATTTAGTGAAATCAAAGTTTTCTCTCTAAAATATTAATAAAAAGATAAAAGGTATACAATTTTGTTTTCTATGTGCTCTCACAGAATTTTATTCTTAAATTCTATAGCTATCGCAAATGACTACGTACAAGTGAGCAAATTGGAGAAAAGTTAAATAAATATGCTACATCTGTTATTATATTGGCGTTATAAATTATAATTACACTGGCGTTATAAATGTTCTCTTAATTAAATTAAGTACACAAATGCTTCGAAAAGTATTAAATTGCTATTAGGAACTACACTTTGCTTTAAAAGATTGCAAAGCTAAGTAACGGAAAGAAAGATGCTTTGCGAAAAGAATATACAGCTAAGTAAAATATTGTTACGAATTTTGTACATATATAAAATTTTAATGAAATTATTGTATTTATTCTGTTAATGTAACATGAAAATCTAAAGAGATGATGCTTTGCCGGGAAAATAAAAAACAGAAACAAGTCTATTTAACATGGTGTCCGTCGATAACATCGCGGCAGGGGCATCGCGGACGGGGGCGTCGCGGGGGGGGCAGCGCAGGGCGGGGGCGTCGTGCTGCGGGGCATCGTGGGGGGGCATCGCAAAGAGAAAGCATCGCGGTACAAAGTATCGTCGTCGAAAGTGGGGCGGTCCAGGGGCTTCGCGGTTTGGGGGCGTCGTCGTCGAGGGTGTCGTGGTGAAGGGTGGAATATCTGCAAATCGTCGCGTGGCGATTGCGTCGCGGATGTGCTTTTTTCAGGTTTTGGTGATTGTAAGTGGATGTTCCCGTAGTGATTTGTGGGCGCAGGATGTGAAGGGGGATGGTTTTTACTTTCACATTTTTTTTTTATTATTAACTAATAGGTTTTTGCTGAAAAGGTGGGAAGGAGACTTAAGCATAGAAAACTAAATGCAACTTATAGATTATACTTTTCATGAAAAATTACCAGTGAAAACTTTACAAAAAATGATTTATTAATAGCCTTTGTTAGTTAACTATGTCGGTTTAAAATTCTATTAAGTGCTATAAGTTGCGTTAGTTTTCTATGCTTAAGTTTCTTTTTTGTTTTCTCAGCAAGGATTTGTTGATTAATAAAAAATGTGAAAGTAAGGATTGTCCTTCTTTCCATCTTTGTGCTCGCGGGTCGTTGCGCGAATGTCCATGTATAGTTGTTGAAGTCTGAAGGGGGCATGTTTGCGATGTTGTCGTCGTGCGATGGTTTGTGGATACTTTGTTTTTTGCCACGATGTTTTCGACGACGTTTTTGAACCGCGATGTTTTTCAGCCGCTTTGTTTTCGACGACGATGTTTTGTACAGTCGGTCACAAAAGTATTCGAACACCGGTACCCATTCAGAAAATTTACTTTTCCGTTGAGAAACAAAATTGTCTCCAGAGTCCATCTTGGTTCGATAGAAAAAGAAAACAAAAGGATGGCTAATGTCCGAAATTGGCTAGGTGCATGAAACAAAATACAACATGACCTATCTGGGTGAGATGGGAAACAAAATGGCTGCTCACGCTGATCCATTATTGCGCTCATAGAAAACTCAAAGTGTGGCTGCGGCTCGTCTTGGTTCGCGAAGAGTGAAAACCCAAAACGGTCTGTAGTGTCTATCTTTGTTGGATGAGAAAACAAAAGGATGGCTCATGTCCAATTTATTTAGGTGTGGGAAAAAATATAACGTGACCTATCTGGATGAGATGTCTCCAGCGATCCAGTATAGACTTTTTCCCCATCTGCAATAGGTGACATCTATAAACAATTTTATTGAAATCTCCTCGAAATATAAGAAACAGCTAGCTCGTGAAATTGTAAGGTATTCCCAAAAAATTCCACTTCTTGAAGAAGGAAAAACATCCTAGATGCAGATGAGGTAGAGAGAGAAAAAGCATGTTGCACTATGGAGAGCCCGCACGGTTCTGAACAGAAAACGTGGAATGCTTTTATAGAAAAGAGTTGAAAGTGAAAGTAAAAGCCGATTGGAAATTTTTCACTTGGTTGCCGACTGAGAAAAAATTTTCAGAGCTCAGAAAAAAAATTCTGAGATGTAAAAAAAAAAAAAAAAAAAACTTTTTGTTAATTTTTATCATGTCTTCTAGACATGATAAAAATTAACCCTACCCCCCTTTTGTGTGGGAATGTTGTCTCACTGTTTCTAAAAATAGACCATGACTCATTCTAGGAATTATATGTTTTAGAAAGGATGAGTCATGGTCTTTCGGTTTCTCCATTCCAAAGTAAACAAAGTGAAGACATCAAATTAATAGAAAAAAAGGAAGATTTTTTTTTTTTTTTTTTTTTTCAGCTCTGGAAAATTTTTTCCCATTCGACAGCCAAGAAATATTTCCAGCCAATATGATTTCATTTTTACTTTCACTTTCAATTCATTTCTTATATCTATAAGAACATTTCATGTTTCTGTTCAGATCAGTGTGGGTTGTTCAAGATGCAGCAACTCTACTCCATCCCACAACCAGGAAAAAAAAAGATGTTCTTTCATGATGAATTCTTTTGGCTTTCCAAAACAATGATGACATGATGATTGTAATACATTTCTGTTCTCATGTCCCATGATTGAACTCAGAATTATTTCCAGAACTCTGAGAATTTTTCCTAGTCAGCTCGATGAACCAAATTTCGTATATTTATTTTTTAAGCCACTCGAGTTTCGACTTCCCATCCGTGTGTGCTGTGCATTCAACCTAGACACACATTCCCTGAGCTCTAAGAAAATGTTTCCCAGCCCACTCAATCGCTGAAATGAATTAAAAACAAATTCTTTCATACATTTTTAAAGCTCAAGCGTGTTAGCTGTCATGGAAAGAACCTTTTTATCCCTGAGCTCTAAGAAAATGTTTCCCAGCCCACTCAATCGCTGAAATGGATTAAAAATAAATTCGTTCCTATATTTTTAAAGCTCAAGCATGTTAGCTCTCATGAAAAGGGCCTTTTTTTCCCCAGCCCACTCAATAGCTGAAATGAATTAAAAACAAATTCTTTCATACATTTTTAAACCTCAAGAGTGTTAGTTCTCATGGAAAGAGCCTTTTTTTCCCCTGAGCTCTAAGAAAATGTTTCCCAGTCCACTCAATCGCTGAAATGGATTAAAAACAAATTCTTTCATATATTTTTAAAGCTCAAGCGTGTTAGCTGTCATGGAAAGGGCCTTTTTTTTACCCCAGCCCACTCAATCGCTGAAATGGATTAAAAATAACTTCTTTCATACATTTTTAAAGCTCAAGAGTGTTAGCTGTCATAGAAACTGAAATTTATGTCATGGTTTGTGTCTCACACGTCGTCAACGGTATGGTTTGAAGTGAAAATTGAAAACCCGGTATGAAAAATCTCTTTAAGTTCACTTTAGAAGAAGCTGTGGGATAGAGAGATTTCGTCATGGAAAAATGTCTTTCAATGTCTTTCAATGTCCGTCATTCAAAAATGTCTTTCAATATCATGACATCTCCTTTCAAATAGGATTGAAGGATTTTTCTTAACTATGTTGAAAACTATGTTGAACTATGTTGAAATCTTTTTGCATCCAAACCACGGATGGGAAATTCTGATTCATGGATGGATCATCCAATTTCGCTAGAACCTGATAAACGGTTGCTGATGAAATCCAAACGAGGGGTCCTAGCTTTTCAAACGGGAAACATTTTTCCCTAAACAGAAGAATGATTTCTATTCTGTGAGACATTAAAAAGTGGAAAGAAACTTGTGTTCACAGAAGCTCTTTCTAGAAGAATGTTCCTGGGTCCAGATGAGATAGAGAAAGAGAAAAAGCATGTTGCACCTTGGATAGCCCGCACGGTTCTGAACAGAAAACGTGGAATACTTTTATAGAAAAGCGATGAAAGTGAAAGTAAAAGCCAAATCGTCTTGGCTGGAAAATTTTCACTTGGTTGCCGACTGGGAAAAAATTTTCAGAGCTCAGAAAAAAAATCTGAGATGTAAAAAAAAAAAAAAAAAAAAAACTTTTTGTTAATTTTTATCATGTCTTCTAGACATGATAAAAACTAACCCTACCTCCCTTTTGTGTGGGAATGTTGTCTCACTGTTTCTAAAAATAGACCATAA